GTAGTAAGGTGTCTTTTTGTTTTGTCGCAAAGCAGCCATTGTTGATGAAGAAGAGGAGGACTACGGGATGAAGAAGACGGGATGAAGAGGACGGAGAGGAAGACTTTTGTAGGTTTGATCGGCGCAAGGCGGACATATGGTGGTGGCTTTGATGGGTTTCCAATGGTGGTTGGTGTGATGGTGATGGACCATATGATGGTTATGGTGAGTCTTCCAGTGGAAGATTTGAGAAAAGGTGGGAGTAAGAAGATGAAAAGTAACAAACGGTGAATTAACATCGTTATTTCTAAAAATCTGTCCAACTTGTCATTGTGGCCCAAGAACAGTTAAATTATATATTTTTTAATAAGAAAATACAATTTTCAATGCATTTATTTACAAAAATATCATTCGACAAACATATTTGTTTATAAACTGGGGCTTGCTCCTTGAAAAACCAAGTGTTTGCCTTCGCATATGCTTTAGGAGATACCCAATGTTATCATTGTTATTTTTTAATACCATATACCGTTGATGTTGGAGAATGGACGAAAGAGCATAGAACACATAGTTGTTGGTTGTTAACAATAACATGGGCTCAAAAAGACACCAATAGTTCTTAACATTAGGCAACAGGGGTAGGGGGAGGACCCAGGCTTGAAAACACTTTAAAAGGTGACTTGGTACTCAGCCTTAACCGTAGTACATTTGGCCTCTTCTCTAAGAAAAAGACCATTACCATATTAAAAACCCCCAAAAGAAACTTAAGGGAGCTCCCATATTGAAGAGCATGGTTAAGGTATAGGTTTTTCAAAGTAATAAATTGAAAATCCATTGCTAAGCTGAAATAGAGGTTACCAAAGGATAACCTTTGAATACTCTCTTGACCGTAGAGATCAAAAGAGTTAACAACATACAGACAACAAGCCAAGACCAATCCTAAGAACCTATACAAACCACAAAAAATAGTAGTTCCCACAAATACCTGAACCCGAGCACCAAGACACTGTAAGAGGAGGTTAACACATATTCCTAGCTCTCCTAAAACCATGTTACACCACATGATAAATGAAGGAGTTATGTCTTCGTCGTGTGCAATTACTAGATATATAAATGGATCAAATTACGGAGATAATAAGTTCATACATTTGGGTCGTCATTTTTCCATAGCTAGAGGTACTAACGATCTTTGGTCAAAGCCCAATTGGACGGATCCTATAAGGTCACACAAAAGGGCTAGATCAAACATTAGAGGACGAGGCCCATCATGGGCCTCATCACTCTAGGTGGCCGGCCATATGGAGGATTAGAAGTGGTTTTGGGCTTCGTGCCCTAGTCTAATTATGATGAGATTATAAATAGACTAGGTGCCTAGGTTTGCATGTAAGCAATTAACTAATCAGATTGATCAAACCCTAATTAGCAAACACGAAACCCAACCCCTCTCAAAGTCCTCTCTCTCACGGCTCTCTCCTCCTCCTCACGCCGATGGTGGTTCGTGGTTCGTGCGGTGGTTGGTTGTCCATAAAGGTGGTGATCGCGGTTTTCCTCAATCACTCGACCAATCTAGTATTGGTGGACGGCTCGTTCGAATCTCGTGGACTATGCAGAGGAGCAAAGCTTGGGGATCTATTCTCTCCCTGATTTGCCTGTCGAATAGCTTCGTGGAATTCACGCGTCAAAGGTATGATTATGTGTCTTGTGTGTTATGCATGTGATCTTGGGATTGGTACTTGATTGAATATGATTCATGTTATTTCCGCTGCGTAGTACCTATAAATTCCTACAATAAAACCCAACCAGCCACAAATAAAACAACGACAAGAGCATCGAAGAACAACCAACTTATTAAACTTTTGACAGAGAACCAATAAGGTAAGGAAACCACAAACCGTACTAAAACACGAACCTAACTCCACAGAATTGAAAATAAACAAACTAAACACAAAGTAGCTTAACATTGAGTTATGGGATTGAAATCCTCATCTTAAAAAATGTATTGGGTCAATTTGAGAGAAAGAAAGAAATTAAATACTTGTCAAGCTTAGAATTAGCTTTCTCTTTCTACTAATATCATACCAAATCATCTCCTTTCCTTTCCTTTACTAATATATCACTAGAAAGTAGAAACTATGGTTAAATAAAATAAATAAATAAATAACCATATAGAATTTTCAAATCTTGACAATGTAAATTTCATAAAAAAAAAATAAATAAATAAAATTGATTTGATTTTATGAAATCTTGTTAGATTCGTTTCAAAATCTACTATAAAAATTTTATGTTATATTACTATAATTTTTACGTATTTAAAATTAGAATTATACATGTTTTAAGATGTATATCGAATAGTCTTTGGAGTTGGATAGGGAAATAAAATAAGAATAATGGAGGGAGCAATACTTTGTGAAAAAAAAAGTCACAAATAATTATTAACAAAAAAATTCATATATTTTCTGTTGGAAATATAGGCTATATGTACTTATGAAGGCTTTTAAAGCTATTAATCCAACATTTTTTCCTAACGGTTTATGGTCATTATCTCTATTATACTACCTCCGGTCCAAATTACTTGCAACTTTGGAATATTTTATATCTCACAAATAATACCCCAAAGTTGCGAGTAATTTGGACTGGAGGTAGTATAAAGGAACTATTAAGAACTTTTGTGTCTGCACTGAAAGCCAAAAACATAGCTTGAAGCCTTGCACCAATGAATGAGGGTAAACGAAATTTTCATTCATAATTACACAAATCTTTCATTTTCACTTGGTTCTAAACATTCAAATCAATAAAAAGACTTGTTTCATTAAAAAAATAAAAAAAATAAATATATATAGAAATAAATAAATAATAAATAATAATAATAATAATAATAATAATAATAATAATAATAATAATAATAATAATAATAATAATAATAATAATAATAATAATAGACATATCAAAAGAGACTAATTAATTAAGCAATTCAGTTAATGCGTAAGTTCATGTTTATCAATTGTCAAATAAACATTGATTGATTTGGATAGTAGCTAAATCACATAGGTTGTCCAAATCCTAAGTTAATTGGTTCACATGGAATTAGTCCCCTTATCTCCATATTCCCCACCCACCAATACGTAAGTTGTTCTCATTTCATTTCATAAAGATAATAAGTAGTTATCATAAGCAAGCAACTTGATTCAATTTTTGATTGCATGAAGTTTTAGAAATCCACAGTATTTGGGCCTGAGTAATGCTCGTGGTCACTTTATATCCATAGTATTTGAGGTTGTATCAATTGTATGTTTAAATCATATGAATACCTACAATATCTTTATTTTTTTACTTTAGTTGATAATATGCATGAAATTGAAAAAGAAACAATGAATGAAGGCAAGTAAAATTTTAATTGAACGCTTGTTTTATTTGTATATAAATAAAATAAAGTATTACTCGAGATGGGTTACTCGGGGTAGTTCTGAACATGATTTTATGGATGTTTTCCCCCAAAGTGTTTTTATTTTGGCAGGCAATCTATTACTAAAACAAAACATTGCTGACATCATCAACTCTCAAATTATTCTACGTGTCATTCTAACATTACAAATTTTCCCTCCATTTTATCTATGTTTGACGTCATCATTTATTTTATTTTTGTAAACCTACACTATACATTTTTCTAATAAAAAAAATTACCTGTCTTTTTTACACAAACGATAAAAATTTATTTCTTGCATAATAATGAAAATTAATTAAATCGTGCAACGCACGAGTCTAATCTAGTGATTTAGGCCCTGTTCACTTCACCTTTTTTTATTGAATTGAAATTATTTTTACTGAACAAAAATTATATTTGCTGAACTGAAATTATTTTTATTGAACTGAAATTAATTTACTGAACAAAAATTAATTTTACTGAACTAAAATTATTTTTACCTAATATCTTTTATATTTCTTCTTTAAGTTTACTGATTTTTATGAGCTGAAATTATTTTTACTGATTGAACTGAACTTATTTTGCTAAACTGAACTTTTTTTTTTACTGAAATGAAAATGGATAAAACAAGTTCTTTATCCAAGCTAAGTTTAGTGAATTACTCCTTCCGTTTCACATTAGTTACAACACTTTTCATTTTTAGCCGTTTCACATTAGTTACAACACTTTTCATTTTCGGCCGTTTCATATTAGTTACAACGCTACTATATTTGGAAAGGACCCACCATTAATTTATAATTTCTCTCTCCCACGAACCCCACTTTCACAAAGGTTGGGGGCAGCTCTCGGGGTAACATTGCACCAACAGTAGCAACGTGGGTCCGTCCACCAAATGTCCAGGTAAAAATTAATGTTATAGGTGAGGAGGGGGTAAGTATGGGTGTGGTGATCAGAGACGATGCTGAGACAGTTCTGCTAGCTGGTGTGAAGAAAATCTGCTGCAGATGGGCTCCTGAAATAGCTGAAGCAGCTGGTGCAGCCTATGGGCTTGAATTAGCGCACAGATGGGGTTATTCAAAGGTGAAGCTTGAATGTGATGCAGTGAACGTGACTCGGGCAATTCAGCAACGCAAGGAAGGTGTTGCTCCGATTTTCCTTTCCTTAAAGACCCCATATTTTCTATAAATATTTATGCCCCATTCATGTGCATTTTTTTTGCACTTTTTTTTTTTTGTATACATATTTTTTTTTACAGGAAGAAAAAACATTTTATTTTTGAAAAAAGATAATTCTTAGTTTTTCATGCACTTATTATTTGTGCCCCATCTCCATTTCTTATACAAAGAATATAATACTCCTATGAATGAACAATAAAAATAGTACTATTTAATAGTACTATAATTTCAAAAGAATTATGCAATCATGTACTGATGTACAGAGGCCAATATCTGGCTATATGCGAGTACCATAAGGAAGAACGTTTTTGCACATTTTCTGCCAATTTACTCCATCCAACTCCAAAGTTTCTTAGGAAAGAGAAAAAGGATTTATGTGATGGAAAGAATACATATTAATTATTAAGTATTATGGGATTGTCATCTTCAACCCAAATTGTAGTATTATAAAATTTGGACAACTGATCAAGGAAAATGTGAAGTATTTCGAGGATGGAGGGAATACATATAGCTAGCATGTAGAGTTTAAGTAAAACAAATCAAACCTTGATCACATGGACAATAACAAAATACAAACAGTCAAGCCTATGACGTTTGGCTGAGAAATGACATTTAGACCGCACTTCACTCATCAACTTGAGAACTTCTTCAATCTTCCTTGAAATAAACCCATCCGAATTCTACCAGCAAACCCAAGTCAAATGAATAGTTAACAAAAATGACTAGAAAAAGATCATTATATTGCGCAAAGAACTGAACTTTCGTTCTAAACCATTACAAACTCTGCTTACTTCAACCGTAACCATAGTAAATAGAAGAAGAAATAAATTATCTCCCTACTAATCAGAAACAAATGCTAAAAACCATCATATACCTCTTAGCCAATGATAGACCCATTTCAAAACGCTAATTAATGGGCACTTTTCATTTTTGAAGCATAAAATCCATAATATTGTTGTGGCGGATTGAATAAATTAAATCTGTAAAGAGGTTAAATTCACCTTGAGAATCATTGAAAGAACCTTGTACGCCTTCTTTTGGATCAAGCCATCGACATCCTGCAGCTCATTATATCAAAGATGCATCAGACATACCTCACAACCATAGCTCAAAGAAAACTACAGTGAATATAATGAGATGATCATATATATTGGTGAATCAAAAACCTCCAGTGCTGGAATTATGGAAGAAAACAAGATATCAGTATCCTGAGGACCCAAACCAGGCAAAAGTGAAACAGCCAGATCAAAATGCTGAGCTCTGCCTATGTAAAAAGAAAAAATGAGGAATTATCATTATAAACATAGAAGAAACCGTAAACCTAACACATTGGTAGGAGCAAACATGGAAAATTCACCTTTTGGCTTTAACACAAAAGACATACTACTAACAGAAAAGACAAGTAACACACCTCTTGAAAGAAAATGAATTATCACCGGATAAAAGTCGATCTCCATTTCATCTCTTTTATTGCCATCGTCAGTGAACTTCAAAAGTTGTTTCATTTCTTTCCTAAGTAAATTTGAGACAGTATCTTCACCCGCTATTGATGCAAATTCACCTATTGTAGACTAGAATCAAACTAGAGCTGATGTAAGTTCGGAGAAGCATTTAAAAAAATTATCAGCAAACAAATTAAAGAGCAACGGATACTTGCATATATAATTTGGTATACCAAGACTGGACTATAGTTTGTACCACAAATCAATTATTATTGGCCCAAGAAAGAAATTCTAACTTGAAGAAGAGGATTCTAGGTTCCAATTACATCAAAAGAAGGCATCACTATCCTTAGAAAACATATGAACCCATGGGGAGAATAGCAGCAGTATATAGCAGATTAATATGTTTTTCTAAACAAGTTAAAAATATAATAAGTGAACTATCACTCATCAGTTTAGCCACCGGCAGAGTTAAGTGAAGCAGCCAGCAACCCATAGGGCCATAGCAGACAGTTAATTTGACAAGGACAGCCAGGAAAAATTAATCCAATACCAAAATTTCCCACTTCCCAACATTTATACCAACTTTTATTAGATTTATCCCCATACTGATGAAAACATCTAGGATCTGTATTCTAAGTTTGCCTACAAAATTAAATTATCACTGTTTTAACACAATACTGAAATGCAACTCAGTATACCTCAATAATAACAATGTGTTCGGGACCCAATTTAATGGAAAAATAGAGAAGTAAACCTATGGAAATCTGTGCAACAGTAAAACCAGAGGAATACATGGAAATCTTCAATGTTAACTTGTTTGGTTTGTTATCATGGAAAACTGTGGAAAATTGAGTATCCTTCAGCTATGGTATTGATTTGCTTAGTTTTCCATAGTTATTCCAACACTTTTGAAGGAAAAACCATTCAAAAAAAAAAAAGGGCAACTAAAAGATTTTCCCACATTGGCTTAGATTTACACCTCCATACCTTCTCACAACCAAACATTGTAAAACTAAGAAATTCTCAGAAACATACACATTCACTCAGATATCCTCCTTAAAGTTTGATCCCCTATAACATTGTCATGTAGTCAGTCATTGAGGCAGAATGAATATTTCAAGCAGGGAAGGGGAATGGAGAGGAGAGAGACATATATAAACCCTAAGGGAGACAGAAAATGTCTTCAAGCATCCCAAATCCACAAGATAAAGGGATCAAATGAAATTCTAATAGATGCTTCATATACATAAAGGTCCAACAACGCTTTTACTGAACATCACAGAAACACAAATTCACTAGTACGTGAGGCAGGACACCCTCTTAATACAGTTCCAAAGCATAACAAATCTTGCTACATTTTTTAGTGGACAATATATAAATAGGCACGCCCCTAGGCGCTAGGAGTCAAACACCTTTTTTCTCTAGGCGAGGTGATTTCAGTGAAGCTCACCTAGGCGCAATGAGGAGCACAACTTTTTTTTGCCAACGAATGTTTTATTTCTATCAAGTGCGCTTCAACGCAATGGGGTACAAAAAGGCACAACATGATCCCTATTGCCTTAGTGCACATTTGAGTTAATTATATAGATTGTTAAGGAAATCAAGGGTATTGACTAGGGGTGGTGGAATCTAAAATAAGAGATGGTGATTGATGGTGGAGGAAAAGATGGGAAATTATACACTCATTTTGGGAAAGATACAAAGGTATTAAGGCTGGGGCTTCCTGTGCTCACAAAGCCCATCATACCTAATTATGGCTGAGCATTGAATTATAACTGAAACAAAATCAATCAATCTATGTAGACCAACAACTTGACAGTACAGAACGTTTTGTCTAAATAGCCTGACAATGCAAAAAAAAAAAAAAAAAAAAAAAAAAAAAAAAAAAAAAAAAAAAAAAAAACAAATAAACTGGAGCAAGAAAAAAAAATCATAAACATATACCTGCAACATTCAACAGGGTTGATATTGAATAATTATGTAATAAAGAAAAACAACCGACATGAACTATGACAAACAAAAATGAAGTCACTCTACCCGAATCAGCAAGCAGACACGGCTAACACTATATAACAGATAGAAACTTATGATAGCATGAAAAAGAACATCGAATTGTATCAGCAAGCTTCCACCAGGATCATTTGTGGAGACCAGGAAAGCATTGAATAAAACTAACAAGAAATTATGAGCAGACGATCTCAGCACTCCCAAATTAGCGGAAGCCACCTCTTGATTGTAAAAACCAATAGCTCTCTCAGTGGGAGCATTTAGTTTATCGCTGGGTACATAATTGTTTCCTTCTAGAATACACTTATTCTGTTGTATGAGGATTTGCGAACTGGAGCAAAGAATTCCTTGAAGATCAGGCTCTCGACCCAAAAACAAGGTTAAAGTAGTAACATAGAAGAAAAGAGATGCAGCAAGTGCATAGAAATCTCACAAAGCAACTTCTTCTGATTGAGCGCCCAAATCCCTCACGTTTGACCTCTTGCTTGGAAAAACAGGAACATTGACAAATAGTCACACGGGTAGGGAAGCAACACTTAACCACGCCCAGTCCCACTTCGACACTCATAGGTCCTTCTTAGTCGGTCTTCAAATCTAGTATCTTCTGTATCTTCTGTTTAAGGTAAGTATCTACCAAAAAATCTGGACCATTTTTCGAGGATAATATTTCAATATCAGCCTTCTTCTTATCATTCAAGATAGACTGCACATCTTGTGAAATGGCAGGCTCATGGTTTATCCAAGATTCCTTTGATAGTTGCACTGCTTTAGATATATCTTTGTCATTTGTTGATATCATGTCAGAATCAGATATGTTACACTCATTTAAATCTGACCTAAGTAATCCAATCAGCTTAACCGTAGGGACTACCAAGTTCTGACTCATGAATGCCATGTTAAATGATCCATATTTATATGTCTTAAAGATCTCAAAACCAGCAGGATTACAATCAACGAGAGCTAAAACAGGCACTTGTTAGGTTTCCCACACCATTCTAACAAACATCCTGCAATCTAAGCTTGGTTCACCCTCACCGGTTATGACGACACATGGAAACTGGCGGTGGAACCTTTGTGAGAGTAAATCTTCAAAAACAGTCATCTTTTCTACAATAAGAATAAATTTTGGATGTTCTCTGGCGATTTTAATAGATTTGATATTGGAGAAATTGATTCTATACGGTTGATTCAATATACTAGCATCGTCCTCAATATCTCCATTTGAATCAATATCACTTCTAATGACAACAATATTTCCAACAAAAATTGAATTTGAGTCTGACGCAGAGTCTGACGCTTTAACACCTAATGATTGTCGGGTGCAAAGAAAATGACAGCATAAATCATCAATATAAGACGAAACTTTAGCCATGGTTACTTCCCCTTTTTTCTTTTTAAAACTATGGCTGTTTGACAAATTATAATAGAGGGAACGAATGGGGGTTAACGAGGTAGGTTTTCCCTGTACTATTGCTTTAAGTTTCGAAATAGGAAGGTCGGTTAGACTTTTCAAAAAAGTGACACTTGAAGTACGAAGGTTTCTATCCTCTTTGAATTCACAATAAGCATAATACTTATTCACCTCATTAAATTCAGAATTCATTTTGCCTCTAAATGGGAGATGAGCGAACCAATTTTCTTCCATACTTTGCAGGAGACCTTGTAACTTTTCTAACATAGCTTTGTGATCAAAAGTCTGCACCTCATCGTAGAGTGTAGCTCCCTCTCCCTCCAACTTAAGATGCTCAAACTTGACACTGACACCACTAACATCAGCATCACCACCGGTTACTTCTTCCGAGGCCATTTGGATTTCAATTAGTAGAGCTGCACAAGTACATAATAGAAATAAAGGATAATCAGAAATATGAGGAACAAAACAATAACCAAAAAAAAAAAAAAAAAAGAAAAAAAAAAAGAAAAATTCAGATAATACGAAATCAAAGATAAAAGAAGAAACGTCGATAAAGATCACCATTAGTTAATACATCACTTTTGATAGATTAATGAGCACAAAACCTGCAAATTGAATTGGATACTCTATTTTTTTTATTCAAATTTAATTAAAACATCAAATTGAAGAAGTAATACCAAATAAAAGAAACATAACTAACAATCAATGTATTAGGGATTAAATTAATAGCCAATCGGTTAAAAATGCTATGCACAGAGGAGAAGGAGAACAATACCGACAAAGGAGGAAAAGGGCGTTGGCGTTGACAATCTCGATTGCTGGTTTTTAGGAAAATAAAACCTAATTATGATGCGATTGCAATGGTGACACGAAGGCAGTGTAGGGGTGCTAAAGCGCAAGCTAAGCTGGTCGCAGCGCCAAGATGATAGGGCGGCCTCTTGAATGGCACAAGCTAAGCTTTTCTATCTCAATATACAAGTATATAGCACGGGAGGAAAAACAAGAAAACCAAAGGGGTGTTAGGCAAACAGAGTTCTGAGGTTGTTTTAGAGTTTTGATTCACTTTTAGAGGGTGTTTGTTTAGGATAAAAAAAATTGGGATGGATGAAATGTAGTTGTAGGCGTCGTTTGAAGTGTGCATACGTTAAAAGCATGTGTGAATATGCTTGATACTCATAGAAAGTGGGAATAAACATTACGATTAGGGACAAGGAAAGTAGGGAGCCGCCAACAAGTTTTTAAGGAACTTGTAAACCGTTCACGGATCATAAAAGGCAACCACGATAAAGGGACAACGAAGGCAACAACGATTGACCCGTGAAGGTTACACCCCATTCATAATCCATGAGATTACTAACTCCATATAGTTCGGAACCACGAAAAGAGGATCGGGGATGATGGTACGAAATGAGTCATGGAGTCACATTCGCCCGTATTGGCCTCTACTCGATTCTTATAGTGAAAAACATTCCTGTGATCTCAAAGGCATACAAACAAAATATTCAATTCGCTCCAAACTATTATTAAGCTAAATTGGTTTAATATTAATGCAACATATAATTCTAAAATATTTGTGACCACTTGATTAAACAATAAGATTAAAAAGGAACCTAAACCGGTTGCCCAAATTATCTTATTAGGCGTGATTTTCAATTACATATTCCCTTTAACATGCAATATGGTGATCAAAATAATAATAGAATAAACATTAATATTGGAAACAATTTAGCAATAATTCCAACAATATAAAATCGTTAGAAAAGTAATAGAAATAAGAGGAACATAATTCTTACTTTGATTCTGTTTGTTTGCAACTACAAAATAATAAACGAGTTAGTAACTTCAAGGAAATAATAAAACAACAATTAAATTAAATTAAATGAAGTAGAGTTGATTTGGGGCCAAACCCTCAAAGAGTTCTACCTTTCACGCCTTGACTTAATCCCCGTGACACGTTACCCTTCCACCGAGCCGCGGCGTAGCTTGACCGTGTCACGGCGGCTGCACTAATCTTCGCGGTTTTTCGAGCTTTTGGAGCTCAAATCTTCACCAATTTTGCTCTAATTTTTTGCTACTTTCCTCATTTTCGATTCTCTACAAGGATCTATGTAAGTTTCCCTCGATTTTGCCTCGAATTTGCTTCAAATGAGTAATTTCATGAAAAAACCCTTAAAAATCAATTTGGGGATTTTTTTGATTTTGTGGTTTATGTTGAAATTCTTGCTATGAATTTACTTTTATATGTATGCATGCGTGTTTGTGAGCGATTTGAGACAAAAATTGCATGATTTGGTGAAGAATTGAGCAAAATCACCATTTTTGGTACTACTTGTTGTGAAATAATGTTCTTGTTGTTCATGTTACTTCTTTGCACTTGAAATGGTGAAATATTGGTGGTAGATCTTGTAAAATATGTCATGATGTGTTGATTCATTGATTTCGAAACATATTTCATGTATGTACTATATCGTCATGGAGAACATAGTATCATGCGACTAGGAGAACTATAGTATTAGTTTGTCATGGAGAAACTAAATACTATAAATAATTCCATTATTTTGCCAATTTTTAGCCATGAGGTAAAAATTTAGCGAATAATGCGATAAACAACTAAATAACTTAGGAAGTGATGCTAAGCATTTAGATTTTTTATTAAAATACAACTCGAATTAAATGTCTTAGGTAATGATGCTAAGCATTTAGACCTTTATTTTTATAATAGCATGCCTAGGCGACAGGATCGTGATATTTCCACCCATGGCCGGTGTCAGGCTTTTCGGGAGGACACTCCCACTATTCCCGAGGGTATGGACGACGATGTCTTAGATTCCGAGCCTCGGGCTTCTACGAGTAGAGGTAGGTGGGTTCCACCTACGTGGACTCCAGACCAGTTGATTTTCTGTCATGAGAACCACGTTTCTCATCGCCCACTTGCCGGCATAGTTGACGGCACGCTTCGCCACTACGATTCTGGAGCCGGAGATTTGATTCCTCAACTCCACCAGATTACCACGAGAGATCCTGCTACGAACGCCTTATGGGAATCGGCTGGTTTAGTGGATTTTTATTCGGCGGTCGAGGGTTTCGCAGCCCCCGGGGTTGCGGTGCGACGGTTGTTCGCGCATTGTTGGAGTATTTCTGGGATACTACCAACACCTTTCATTTTGCTTGGGGGGAGATGACAGTGACCCCTCTAGACTTCAGCATGATTAGCGGGCTGCGCTTCACTGACCGGGCTGTAGCTCAGATGTCTGATCTTTCTTGGGGAGCAGCTGAGGCAGCCGATTTGTTAGGTCCGATTGTTCAGCATATCAGGACCCGGCCAGTGTCTCGAGGTGGTCCTAGGAGCGGGCGATCGGAGTTGGCTTTAGTTCTAGCTCGTGTTTCGACATGGAGGAGACATCGGTTGAGCAGCGAGTGCGGATCTTTATTCTGATTCTGATCTCCATGACTCTTTCTCCTGATAGGAGTTCACGCGCACTCCTTTGCTACCTCCCCTCTTTAGTCGGGATCAGTGAGATAGGATCCTATAGCTAGGCCAGCCTCGGATACGCCGACCTTCTCTTGTCGTTACGTTATGGCTGTCGGCAGCTGAACGACGAGTCTCCCATCACTGTCTACGGTCTGTGGAGAGTCGTAGAGGTGATGATCTTTTCCTCTTCTTGTTTTATTTTAATTTGTTCGACTCATGTGCTCAAAGATTAATTTTCATTGCAGCTATGGTTCTACGAGTACTTCCCAGGCTTGGCTCCTAGAAGGCGTCGTTGAGCGGTTCATGATTTCCCTGTCGGGGCCAGCTGGCGTGACCGAGGAGAGTCACGGGTGGAGTCTGTTCCTGCGCTGCGTGGGCTGCTAAGCCGAGGCACCTCTTCTGTTGGGGTAAGAATTAGTTTTGTTACCTGTTATTTTCTCTTTGACGTTATTTCCGGTGTTTCATGCCAACTTTTTATGGTTTTCAGGTTGCCATTGATGTTCAGTATCGTCCTTGGGCCGGGATGACTGATCTTCCTGAGGCCTTGTGTCTTTCAGCGCACCGCACCATTTTGGTTGGTACCAGACGCTTTGTCTGGTATCTGGGGGAGCGTGCCGTTCATCAGCATAGCGGTGATCGCTTTGTGGTGCCCTCATCTCCACCGGAGTCGATGCTGGACTCGCGCTTGCTTAGGGAGTTGATAAACAGGGGAGAGCGCTACACTTTTCCCTGGCATGAGCTTGTGCACATGGAGGGTGATTACGCGCAGGACTTGCTTCCCTCTCTGGCTCCTCCACCCCGCCTTCTTGAGGTATGATTTCTTTTGAGGATTTTTCTACTAGTCTCTGTTTAAATAGTCGAATAACTTAATTATTCAATCATATTTTCAGACGACTGTTCGCCCTGTGGGGAGGATCGAGATTTTGCCTCAGTCTGTTCGCTACCCAGGGCCGATTGGTATTACCGAGGACCACATTGCTAACGCGCCAGAGGGTTACATACAGGCGTAGGAGTCTCTGCCCGAGGTTTTTGAGCCGGTAAGTTTTTAATGAATTATTCATCCTTTTAACACCGCTTGTTACTGATTTTTCCTTGTTTTGTTGTCAGCCTAACCGCCCGGAGATGATGGGATTCATGAAGCTGGATAACGCTCTAAAGTACTGCATCATCAAGCTTCGGCGTGGTGCGAGTTGTCGGAGTAGTTCTAGCAATGTTCTTGAGGTATGCTCATTTTTTCCACTTCTACCATTTATTTTATTTTTCATTTGTTGACCCCTTTTGATTTTGTATCTTTCAGGAGCAACGGAGGTCCCGCTCGCGCTCGAGGCATAGAGGCTCGGACGAGGAGGAGCTTGGTTGTGGTAGACGATCTCCTGCGGTTCATCGGCATTCTCAGTCTCAGCGAGAGCCTCAGATTACTCAGCCATTTCAGGAGGCTCAGTGGCAGCCTCAGTCTTCCCAGCGCTTCCAGGGTCAGAGTCAGGGGCAGCGGCAGTCGTTTTCACAGCCTTCACAGCCCGAGTTTAGGCCTGTTTTGACTCCCGTGGATCCTGGTTTATTTTCAGCTCCATCGTCTGGGATTCCTCCACCGGTGTCGGGCTTGTTCTCAGTTCCGATGTATGGGACGATGCCTCCACCGACGATTCCCGTGTCTTTGAGTCAGTCTACACCGTTTTCTAGTTGGACGGGTCCTGCCTTGAGTTTGACTGCTGCTGGAGTCACAGGAACTAGTAGGGACACTACTCCCCGTACTCGGATGATGGCGGGACTCTTTGGCTCACCGTTCCCGTATTCACAGGGTGGAGATGATACTGACCCTAACTCTTCTAGTTCTGTAGACTTTTGACCGAGGGTCTTTATTCGTACATATTGTGATGACACTTGACGTTGTTTATTTACTATGACTCATTTTGTATATTATTCGCAGTTTATGCATTTATTAATGTGTGTTAGTGTGTGCTTAAGACTTATTGCGTGTGATCATGTATTTATTAATGACGCGACAAAAACGTAAGTGGAGTAAGTGGAGGGTACCGACCTTCCCCAAAAGAAAGAGAAATAAAAAAACAAGAAAAAAATAAATAGAATAAACAAGTAAATATATAAATGAAAAAAGAGAAGATAGAAATAAAAAGGATGAAATACTAAAGTAATGAATCAAAATAAATAATGAAAAAAAGAAATGATAAAAATAAATAAAAATAAATAAATAAAAAAAAAGTTGAGAATTTTATTAGGAATGAAACTCCCAGAAAACTGAAAAATAAACGGTGAAGATAAAATACTAAAAAAATCCGGATAGGTAAGGGAAAAGATAAAAAAGAAAACGCATGGGGTGCCGCGACACGGCACTGCACACCGTGTCACGGCAAAAACTGCCGTGTCGCGGCAAAAATTCCCGTGACACGGTGGGATTCCCCGTGTCACGGTGCGCGTATTCTACAACGTGCGGTTTACGCGTACGAAAAGATAATTTCTGAGTAGTTCCGAGCGCTTTTGCTATAAAATAGGACCATTATATTCATGATATGCATAATTACGAAACACAAAATAATTAGAATTTCATATTTCAATAATAATGTCTCAGAATTTTGATAATACATTGCGCGACTT